CGCGGCCTTGACCTGCTGGGCTCCAGCGATCCTTCCGCCTCAGCCTTCCAAGTAGCTGGAACTACAGGCGTGCGCTACCACACCTGGCTAATTTTTTGATTTATTGTAGAGATGAGGTCTCGCCAAGTTGCCCAGGCAGGTCTCGAACCCGCGGGCTCAGGCAATCCGCTCACCTCAGCCTCCCAAAGTGGGGATTACAGGCTGAGCCACCGAGCCCGGCTTGATCCAGAGATTTTGACTAAATTTGTTTTTTGGCAAGTAAATTTGATAGGTGGTGGTATATATTTGCATATACAGCATGGCATGTTTGTCTTTTTGTTATATTAATGCCATTGATAATCATTTCTTATATTTATTATTTTCTCATTGATCACCTATGGTTTTATTTATTTATTTTTTTTTGAGACAGGGTCTCACTCTGTTGCCCAGGCTAGAGTGCAGTGGAACGTTCTCTGCTACTGCAGCCTCAACCTGCTGGGCTCTGGTGATCCTTCCATCTCAGTCTTCCAAGTAGCTGGAACTACAGGCATGCGCTACCACGCCTGGCTAATTTTTTAATTATTGTAGAGATGAGGTCTCGCCAAGTTTCCCAGGTGGGTCTCGGATCCGCGGATTCAGGCAATACACTCACCTTGGCCTCCCAAAGCGTGGGATTACAGGCTGAGCCACTGAGCCCGGCTGATTGTTATTTTTTCTTTTTGTTTTTTTTTGTTTTTTTTTTTTAGTTGGAGTCTCACTCTGTCACCCAGACTGGAGTGCAGTGGTCGCTCCCAGCCACCACAGCCTCGACATGCTGGGCTCTGGCGATCCTTCCACTCCAGCCTTCCAAGTAGCTGGAACTACAGGCATGCGCCACCACACCCAGCTAATGTTTTGATTTATTGTAGAGATGAGGTCTTGCCAAGTTGCCCAGGCTGGTCTTGAATCTGTGGGCTCATGCAGTCCTCTCACTTCGGCCACTTTTTCTCTCACCTCAGCCTCCCAAAGTGCTGGGATTATAGGCGTGAGCCATGGTGCCCGGACTGATGGTTATTTTTTCTAAAGGTTTTTTTTTTTTTTTTTTGAGTTGGTGTCACTCTGTTGCGCAGACTAGGGTGCGGTAGCACACTCATGGTTACCACAGCCTTGACTCGCTGGGCTCATGTGACCCTTCCACCTCAGCCTTTCAAGTAACTGGAACTATAGGCATGTGCCACCATGCCTGGCTAATTTTTTGATTTATTGTAGAGATGAGGTCTCACCAAATTACCCAGGCTGGTCTCGAACCCGTGGGCTCAGGCAGTCCTCTCACCTCGGCCTCCCAAAGTGCTGGGATTATAGACATGAGCCACCGCGCTGGGCCTTTTTCTAAAGTTTTGACGGATGTTTTGCTATATAATTTTAGGTTGGTGTTTTTCTTTTTTTGTCATCTGACTTCTTTATGACTTACTGTTAGCCATAAGCCTCATTGTTGGCCTTTTGATGATAATCTGTCCCTTTTAGTTTTCCATCTTCAATCTCTGGATGCTTTTGAGAGTTTTTTCTGTTTTTGGCTTTCATCAGATATACTATGATCTGCCTGGGTGGGTGGGTGTGTGTGTGTGTGTGTGTGTGTGTGTGTGTGTGTGTGTATCTACCTTTGGTTTATAGTGCTTCTTGAATCTGTGGCTTGGTTCCTTTTGTTGGTATTGGAATATTCTTAGCCATATGCCATTTTCTCTTCTGTCTCTTCCTATTTCTCCTCAGAGTCTATATATGTACTATGTGTATATACGAGGGAGACCCAAGAAACTTGAGAATTTATTTAAAAATTGTATATTTTTACATATTCAACTTAAATCACCTTCAAAGTGCTCTCTGCTTGATATAATACACCTGTCAACTTGCTTTTTCCACTGCTCAAGACAGTTTTTTTAAAAAAAATTTATTTATTTATTATAAAGATGTGGGGTACAATTAAGGGTTAGGTATATAAACACCGATCATGCAGGTACCCTTCAAGACAGTTTTTGAACTCATCAATTTTGATACCTTTTGATACCAAAAAACTCCAGAATTTATTTATTAAAAAACTGTATCTTCTTACATGTTCAACTTCAATCACCTTCAAAGTACTGTCCACTTGATACAGTATAACTATTGACTTGCTTTTCACTGCTCAAGACAATTTTGATACTAAACTTTTAGTGCTTTTGCTGTTTTTTGTTTCAGCTTTTCCATATCGGCCAAATATTTCCCTTTGAGGGCTTTTTTCATCTGGGGAAACAAAAAAAATCACTCGGGGCAAGATCGGATGATTAGGGAGGGTGGTGCATGGGATTCATGTCATTTTTGGTAAAAAAAGTGCTGAACACTCAGGGTGAAACAAGAGCATAGAAGACATAATATGGCACGGAATATAAGATCTAACAGACACACACACAGTCATACCTTTGTATCTGTGGTGGTCCTGAAACCAATTTCTTGTGGACATAGAGGGCCAACATTTGTGTGTTTGTGTGTGTGTGTGTGTGTGTGTGTGTGTGTGTGTGTGTGTAGTCATGTGCTGCATAATGATGTTTCATTCAATGATGGACTGCATATATGATGGTCTCATAAGATTATAATACTGTATTTTTGCTGTACCTTTTCTATGTTTAGATATGATGCAATAGCAAATATTTACTGTTGTATTATAATTGCCTACAGTATTCAGTATGTAGCATGCTATAGTAGGCTATACCATATAGGTTTGTGTAAGTACACTCTTTCTGTGATGCACAGAGATGAAATCACCTGATGACAAATTTCTTAGAACATACCCCATCATTAGTGACATGTGCTTCAGTGTGTGTATGCTAGATTTTGTATTCTGTGCTATATTATATCTTCTGTATTTTTTCCTGTTTTTAATTTTCCATCTTTCTGTCATTCTGTATATAGCAGAATATCCCATTTTCTTCTGACTTTTCTTTACTAATTTTTTTTTGCTGTGTCTAATCTGCTATCAAGCCTACCCTTGAATTTATTAACGTAACTGTTGTATTTTTTCTTTTTATTTGTTTATCATGGTTTTTAATTTTATTTTAAAGATATGGGGTTCAGTTCAGGATTACGTATACAAGTGGTCATTGTACAGATAAAGTTTGAGCCTCGCTTTGGTTCCTACTTCACCTGATTTGAAATCAGGTATCCTTATTGGGGTTATGTTCTCCCCTCCCCCCCATTGTGTTTTTTCAGTTCTGTTATTCGTTGGGTTTTTTGTTGTAGTTTTCAGTTCTCCAAAATTTTCCAACTTGTCATTGTTAATTCTTTCAGTTTTTTAGAAATATGTTTCTGATAAATCTTTTATTTGTGTCTCCTGTGGGGTCTGTTTCTAAGGTAGTTTTCCCCCTTAGTTTATGGTTATTTATTTTTCTTGAATGTCTGCTTATTTTTCCACTGGGTGCCAGAAATTGAATGTGAAAGACGTTGGAGATAGTTTGAGACTCTGAGTGATTGTTCTAGAATCTTAAAACATCTATATGTGACTTTATAAGATGTGCTGAAAGAATAAATAGGCATGTGAGAAGAAGGGACTGGTAAGGATCAGTTATAGAATCATCCTGGTTTTAGGTCTCATAAAGAAGGAATTGAGAGAAACAGGGAGAAATAAAAGTCTCAAGGAGTAGGAAGGGAGACAGATAAAAGGGTAGAAGGTGGATGTGGAAAAGAAAATATTAGACTTGAAGTTTAAGGGCCAGGCGTGGTGGCTCAAGCCTGTAATCCCAGCACTTTGGGAGGCTGTGGCAAAGGATTGCCTGAGCTCATGGGTTTGAGACCAGCCTTGGCAATTTGGTGAGAACTTGTCTCTACAATAAAAAAAAAAAAAAAAAGCCAGGCGTGGTAATGCACACCTGTAGTTCCAGCTACATGGAAGGCTAAGGTGGAAGGATCGCCTGAGCCTAGCAGGTCAAGGCTGTGGTGGCTGTGAGCGTGCCACTACACTCCAGCCTGGTCGACAGTGAGGCTCCAACTAAAAACAAAAAAAGATTAAAAATAAAATTAATTAGAGGGAGCAAAATGCTTGTGGAAAATAACTGGAGTGCTTGTTACTTGAGTTTAGACTAGGAGTCAGTCGCGTAGGTTGAAAAGTCTAGGTAGGTCTTAATGGGTGGTAGAAGAGTAAGTTTAAGTTTTGGAGGAAGAAACCATTTAGTAAAAGGTGAAGGGCACCAGAGAATTTGAAGCTACACTGTAATTTGCAACTTAATTTTGTTTTTTGTAATTTCCTTGGAATTGTGTTTTGTCTCATTGATCTTCTAAAATGTTCACCATAGCTACGGGGTATGGTGAAGACCATATATCACCATGTTTTTCCCACAGATTCCACACATATTAGATGGGTTTATGGCTAGTAAGCAACAAAACTCTTAAATCCAGTGAGTTAAAGAAGCTTGTTAGGGATATGAATACCTGCTCAGCCCACCTCACAGGTATTTTGTAAAGATCTAAGAGAATGTATGAAATATTTAGGAATATTTTTTCTAAATGTTTCTAAATATATGTATATTTTTTCTGAATGTACAAGTGCAGGATGATTAATCACATAACTGGTGGAGAATTGAATAATTTGTAATTACACTGAAAGAAAAATTTTAAAATCAGTAACTTATTGCATATGCATTTAATTTATTCATATAATTTGATTGGATTAAGTACAATTTACGACAAATTTATGTGTGAATCGGAAAATATCATTATTGGAAATTAACACTACATTTTTATTCTGAGGGCTTAGACATATTTTTTATTATCTTTGAGAATGTGAATTTCCTTTTGAAAAAGAAATCAGATACTATAAAAACAAATGAATAGCCACATTACATAAATTTAAACTTTTGATTTCAACAATAAAATATAAACATTGTGGTTACTGGATTATATATTCAATATGGCAAAAATGAAATAACCTCAGTCTGAACGGAATATTATAATTTAAAGGCAAAACATTATATTAAACTTTTTAAAACTAAAGTGTGAAATTATTTCTTTGTCTTTAGGCAAAATTTGGTTTCTCTAATATTACTGGAATTGATTACTCTCCTTCTGCAATTCAGCTTTCTGGAAGTATTATAGAAAAAGAAGGATTATCTAACATTAAGTTGAAGGTAACTATTATTTATATTACTATAATTTGTTTATAATTGAAATTATAAAGCTTAAATGTTTCTAAACTATATAGTTGGCTGGGCATGGTGGCTCAACTCTGTAATTCCAGCACTTTGGGAGCCTGAGGCAAGAGGATTGCCTGAGCCTTTGCGTTCCTGACCAGCCTAGGCAACACGGTGAGACCTTATCTCTACAACAAATCAAAAATTAGCCGGGTGTGATGGCACGCCCCTGTCATTCCGGCTACTTGGAAGGCTGAGGCGGAAGGATTGCCAGAGTCCAGCAGGTTGACGCTGGAGTGACCGTGAGCGTGCCACTGCATACCAGCCTGAGCGACAGAGTGAGACTCCAACTCAAACAAAAAAAAAAGTATATAGCTGATGTCACTGAATTCATAAGTTAGGGATCAATTGTAAATAATACAAATTGAAATATTTAAAAATAACCATTAAAAATTTAATCTAGTCGGTTTGGGAAAAATTTTTTTTTTCTTGAGTGTATGTGATGTTTTCAGATGCACGCAAATAATATTTAGGTGTTGAATTAACCAGATCAAAAAGTTTCAAATGCCCAAAGTGGTCACCAAAAGTAGTTTATGTTTGTGTCCTATGATTTATGAAATGTTGACTCCTAAATTTTTATTTTTAGTCTAAGCCTTTCTTCTGAGCTCTAGAATTATATACAGGCATATCTTGTTTTATTGCGCTTCACAGATTTGCATTATTTTCAAACCAAATGTTTGTTACAGCCCTGTTGAGCAAATCTTTTTTTTTTCCCCTCTGAGTTAAGTTCTCTGTCAGCCAGGCTGGAGTGCAGTTGTACCATTAAAACTCACTGCAGCCTTGACTTTCCGGGCTCAGGTGATCCTTCTGCCTCAACCACCTGAGTAGCTAGGACTTCAGGTGTGCAGCACCGTGCCTGGCTAATTTTTTTTTTTTTATTGAGTTGGAGTCTTACTCTGTTGCCCAGACTGGAGTACAAGTGGCACGCTCCCGGCCACCACAGCCTCAACCTGCTGGGCTCTGGCGATCTTTCCATCTCAGCCTTCCAAGTAGCCGGAACTACAGGCACATGCTACCACACCTGGCTAATTTTTGATTTATTGTAGAGACAAGGTCGCAAACTTGCCCGGGGAGGTCTCGAACCCCCAGGCTCAGACAATTCACTCGCCTCGGCCTCCCAAAGTGCTGGGATTACAGGCTGAGCTGCCAAGCCTGGCCAATTTTTTGATTGATTTTTTTTTTGTGATGAGGTCTTGCCAAGTTGCCCAGGTTGGTCTCAATTCCCTGGGCTCAGGCAATCCTCTTGCCTCTGCCTCCCAAGGTACTGGGATTGCATGCAGGTGTGAGCCACTGCGCCCAGCCTATATTCAATTCTATTAGTTTTATCTTGAAAGTATGTCAGGAATGTGATCATTCTCTGTTATTTCCACTGCTCCCTGCGAAGTCCAAGCCACCATTATTTCTTGTCTAAATACCATAGTAGCCCATTTCCACTCTTTTTTTTTTTTTTTTTGAGTTGGAGTCTCACTCGGTCACCCAGACTGGAGTGCAGTGGCCGTTCCCGGCCACCGCAGCCTCGACCTGCTGGGCTCCGGCGATCCTTCCGCCTCAGCCTTCCAAGTAGCCAGAATTACAGGCATGCGCTACCACGCCCGGCTGGTTTTTTGATTTATTGTAGAGATGAGGTCTCGCTGCCCAGGCGGGTCTCGAACCCGCGGGCTCAGGCAATCCACTCACCTCAGCCTCCCAAATGCGCGGGATTACAGGCTGAGCCACCAAGCCTGGCTCCATTTCCACTCTTGCTGCCCCATGTCCATTTACCACAGGGTAGCCAGAGTGATCTTTTAGAGTATAAATCAGTTCATGGCACTTCCTTGCTCACAATTCTCCATTGGTTTTCCTGCTGCATTCAAAGTGTACTCTAAATCCCATACCTGGTCTTGCAAAGTCCCTCATTTTTCACCTTTTCTCCTTTTCTCACCAGTACTCCAGTCACATTAACTTGCTTTCTCATGTCATGTTTGTTCTTTTTGAGTGTTTCTCTTTTATTAATTTTTAAAAAATTTTTAAAATTTTTTTTGGTAGAGTTGGGATCTTGCTGTGTTGCCCAAGCTGGTCTAAACACCTGAGATCAAGCAGTCCTCCTGTCTTGGTCTCCCAAGTGCTGGGATTACAGGTGTGAACCTCTGTGCCTGACCTTATTGCTTATACTTGCTTCCTTCTGCCTAGAGTATTTTTTTACCAGATCCTAGCATGTTGTGCTCATTGTCATCATTCAGATCTCTGGTCAAGTATCACCTTAGAGAAGCCTTTCCAGACGATTTTTCCAAAATATTTATTTTCCCAGTCAATTAGTATTGTATACTGTTTTATTTTCTTTACAACGCTTTGTCTGAGATTATTTATTTAGCTTATTTGTTTGTCTTTCCCTTTATAGAATATAAGGTGTTTTCTTATACAGGGGCCTTTTCTGTTTTGTTTTCTATTATATCCAGTGTCTGAAAAGTACCTCCACAAAATATTTGTTGGATAAATGATTACTTTTTTTTGTTTGTTTTTTTTTTTTGAGTTGGAGTCTCACTCTGTCACCTAGACTGGAGTGCAGTGGCTGCTCGCAGGCACCGCTGCCTCGACCTGCTGGGCTCCAGCGATCCTTCCACCTCGGCCTTCCAAGTAGGCGGAATTACAGGCATGCGCTACCACGCCTGGCTGATTTTTTTGATTTATTGTAGAGATGAGGTCTTGCTGCCCAGGCGGGTCTCGAACCCGCGGGCTCAGGCAATCCACTCACCTCAGCCTCCCAAAGGCGTGGGATTACAGGCTGAGCCACTGAGCCTGGCTAACATTGTTTATAATTACTTAAGTTTGTATGAGTAATCATGAGCTAATTGCCTAATTATTTTTTCAAAGTAACTTTTTGGAATTAAATCCATTGGCAGATTATTTTGAATATTTTATAAAATTGAGGCATATCATTTCAAATGCTTATTTAAATGCATCAGATTGTTGAAAATGAATGAGATGGTGTTATACATCTTTAAAAAAAATCTAAAGTGCATGATATTTACCAAGTTAAGTAATAAGTTTAACAAGTCATTTCATTTATTAAGCATTATGCCAGTCGTTATATCCATTAGTAGCTTCGTAAGCTGCTGAGCCAAATCAAACCATGTTTACTTTAGGTCACAGAACTAGGCTAAAACATAGGCTAAAAATCTTATTTCCAAAGCCAGGCATGGTAGCAGGCGCCTGTTGTCACATCTCTTGGGAGGATGAGGTGGGAGGATCGCTTGAGCCCAGGAGTTCAAGAGCAGCTTGGGCAACATAATGAAACCTTGTCTATATCTAAAACAAACAAACACAAAAACTTATTTCTAGTGACCTGAGTTCCAAATAAATATTTTCATTTTGGAAAATATATCAAATGTTCTACTTTTCAGCAGAAACAACTTTTTCATAAACCGGGCTTGTGAGCTCTGTAATGAACTGATGTTATTAGACAGTACTCCTGGCTTTGATTTGTTTCCAAATTTGTAGAGATTTGGAATGTCCAGGACACATTATCAGTCTCTCTTACTAATCTTGGCTTTAATGATCTTGGAATGAAGCTCATAAAAGTTAGCTATAAAGTTGAAAATATGTTTATTATATATAAAATGCCATTATAATTAATGGATCCTTTTATCATAACCTTTAGAGGTTGCCACTTAAATGCTATAATGATTAATTTAATTGTTCTTACGTAGACTCTGATTTTTAATATAGGTAGAAGACTTTTTGGATCTTTCCACAAAGCTGTCTGGATTTCATATTTGCATCGACAAAGGGACTTTTGATGCCATAAGCCTTAATCCTGACAATGCAATTGAGAAGAGGAAGCAATATGTGAAATCTCTCTCCAGGGTGTTGAAAGTAAAAGGCTTTTTTCTAATAACCTCCTGTAATTGGACCAAGGAAGAGTTGCTGAATGAATTCAGTGAAGGTAAATGACTATATAGTGTTTAAATGTGTCCTTACCTCAGGTTTCATGCTCTTAAATAGGTTTTTCTTCCCCCCTTGGTGTTACAGGGTTTTACTTTTCTATTTGTGGGAATTGCCTGCTTTTCTTCTTTGTTAATGGCCTTGGTGATAACTTTTAACTGCATATACAAAGCACAGAGAAATAACATTGGTAGAGATCCAGAGACCTTTTAAAAAATTTTCCACGAAATCCCGGCAGTTAAGTACTAAAATTTATGAGCCTGTAAAAATTAAGTTCTCTGTTTAAGCTCTATAGAATCTTTTATTTAAGCTATGCAATCTATTAATTAGCTAATCAAACAAAAAGCACATATATTGTGCTTCTGACTTCAGTACACTGATTAATGGCAAATCTGAATAATGCAAATGGAAGTAATGTTTTTGGAAGTTTTACATGAAGAGAATTTTAATTTTATAGATACTTTTTCTGTGTTGCTCTAGCAGCATTTAGGAATTTAGGATTTTTCCTCTTGTTTTCAGAGTGTATGGAACAATTATCTTTAATGTTGTACAGTATCAAAATGTAGGAAATTGATAGAAGTATTACCACTTATTGGTGAGGAAATCTTCTCTGCCTTTTTAATTGGTGCATGGCAGGATCCTTTCTGTCCTGTTAGCAAAGTATAATTAGCGCTTTGTCTACTAAGTAGAGATCTTGTAAGAACTGAGAATCTGTAATCTGTGTACAAAATATTTTGAGTTCTCTGGCAGACTATTCCTTTGCATGTTTTAAGGAATATTTTATCTGCTAGTTTATTTATGTAGTGCACAGGCATTTCTGGGAAAGTATCTTGAGAATCTGTAGGTATTTCCTTAGACTTCTTTTCAGATTAGTATTAATTTTTTTTAAAAAAGAGTGGGAGGAATTTTCATGATGGAGTAAATGATATTGTACTAAATCTCTGGTTAAATTTCGCATCTCAGTTGTCACAAGCTAATGGGAAATGAATTACCTCAAGAGAGCAGTTTACTGTGTGCTGTTATTTATAACTATACTGCGTACATTTTATTTTAGAGTTTGTTTTCTTTTTAGTATTAATGGAATAGGCCAGGTGAACACTTAACACATATCCTTTTGTGTGTGTTCAGTGGCTTTGACAGATTATATAGTATAAAACCTGAAGTGTTTGAGGCTTGAAATGTGAGTGTGTGGCTTCATTACCATTGCCTCTGGAAAGCAAGAATTTACATGATTTATTGTCTTTTATTTCATGCCATTAATTTTATTATCTTCCATGTTAAATTTATTTCCTTTAAAACTGTTGAAGCCCAGTATCAATAGCCTTTTCCTCTTCCTGAAGGGGAAAACTATAAATGCTCAAAGTTACACTTTGTAGGGCAAGTTCCTTTCCTGGTTTTTAAATACAGGTGTTCTTCTTTACCCCTGAAACCAGCAGACAAAAACATATTTGTCTGTCTTCGATAATGAGGAACAGACTTTAGCCTGGTATAGAGAGCTTAAAAATGTGTCTGTGTCTGAAACCTATTGAGTAAACTCTTTATGTTCAGTTTTAGAATGAAATACAGAATTTAAATAAGTGAAATGTTATAACAGGAAATGTTATATAAATAATTGTACACAATTGAAGACATATTTTAGGCATGAGTCTTAGAAAATGGTATTTGGAGTTAGGTACGGGACAGTAACAGAATACACTGCTATGCATCATTGCTGAAGGTCATGTTCCAAGCTCCTCACACTGGCTGCCACATTCCCTTTGCATAGAAGAAAGCTTGCTTTACCAATCTTTTAAGGATCTTTCCCTTCTTATTTGAAAGGTAAATGTTTATAAAACTGTTGAAACAGATGTTGCATTTTCCCTTGATAGCCTATTTATATAAACACTTTGTGTTACTTGTTTTAGTGAGGATTACTTTGAACCATTTGCTAAATATTAGGGTGTTCTAATCTGATGTTCAAGGGACAACTACTCTGAAAACAACCACCACCATCCATTGTACTATAAAAGTAATTCACAGGAGTCTCTCTGAGCCTATTCTGGTTTGGAGGGCTGCCCTTTAAAAAAAGTAAGTCAAATTCCTTATGAAAAAAAGTGAAAAATATCAATAACCCTAACACATAAGCATACAGATTAAAATAATTAAAGCAGTTTATTAACCATCAATGGAATACAACCACTTTTAATATTTTGGTGTATTATATATTAGAATATAATAACTTCAATTCTGTAAGGTTAATTCAGAGAGCTAAAAAGTACTAGAAGATTCATACAGAGAGCTTCATTTTTCTCTTGGAAAAAAATTTTTTTTTGAGTCCGAGTTTTACTCTGTCACCCAGGCTGGAGTGTAGTGGCATGATTACGGCTCACCACAGACTTAACCTCCTGGGCTCAGGCAATCCCTCCACTTCAACCCCCAAAGTAGCTGAGACTACAGATGTGTGCCACCACGTCTGGCAAAGTTTTTGATTTTTTTGTAGAAACAAGGTCTTGCTATGTTACATAGGCTGGTCTTGAATGCCTAGGGTCAAGCAATTCTTTTGCCTTAGCTTCCCTAAGTGCTGGGATTACAGGTGTGAACCACTGCTTCTGGCCTCTTGAAATCTTTTATTATAAAATGTTTTAAGCATATGTAAAATTTTCAAAATCAAATATGGGTATGTAACCATTTACCCAACACTGGCTCTATTTTCTAACATTAAAACATATGTTATTTAAAAGTCCTGTCCTAATTTGGAAAAGTTTTCTTATGATCAGTTTTGAATGAGCATTTTAATATTTAGTAAGATTTATGAAGTTAGATTAAGAACATGAATTAGGATATATGGTGAAACAAAGTGTAACAGACCAATTAATACAGTAATATATGTAGTTTTAAACACTTCTTTGGTTTGCAAGAGTTATTTGAGCTCAAAGCATGGGAATTTAGAAAATCTACTTCCAGCTGGTTGTGGTGGCTGGTGCCTGTAATCCCAGCACTGTGGGAGGTGGAGGCAAGAGGATTGCCTTACCTCAGGAGTTCAAGACCAGCCTGGGGAACTTGGTGAGACATCGTCTCTACAATAAATCAAAAAATTAACTGGGCATAGTGGCATGCGCCTGTAGTTCCAGTTACTTGGAAGGCTGAGACAGAAGGATTGCCTGAGCCCAGCAGGTCAAGGCTGTGGTGGCCATGAGGATGCCACTGCACTCCAGGCAGCCTGGGCAACAGAGTGAGACTCTGACTCAAAAAAAAAAAAAAAAAAAAGAAAAAGAAAATCCACTTCCATCTCAAGGAAAATATCTTCCAAAACTAATAGTCCTATCACTGAGGGAAAACCTTGGTTAAAATTTTAGTAAGTGACCTTCCAGCTTTATTTGTTTTATTTTTTAAAGCAAAATAGTAAAACATTATGTTTGTATTTTATTTTATAGTATAGGAGAATACTTCATTATCTTATTTGGAAAACACTACATTATCTTTTTTTTTTTTTTTTTTTTGAGCTGGAGTCTCACTCTGTCACCCAGACTGGAGTGCAGTGGCCGCTCCTGGCCATCGCAATCTCGACCTGCTGGGCTCCGGCGATCCTTCCACCTCAGCTTTCCAAGTAGCTGGAACTACAGGTGTGCACTACCACACCCGGCTAATTTTTGATTTATTGTAGAGATATGGTCTCGCCAAGTTGCCCAGGTGGGTCTCGAACCCGCAGGCTCAGGCATTCCACTCACCTCGGCCTCCCAAAAGTGCTGGGATTACAGGCTGAGCCACCAAGCCTGGCCTACATTATCTTTATAAAATCACTTGAGTTGAGTGAGACTCCAATTCAAAAAAAAAGAAAGTGTGGTCGCTCATACCTGTAAATCCCGGCACTTTGGGAGGCCAAGGTGAGATGATTGCTTGAGCCCAGGAGTTTCAGACCATCCTGGGCAACATAGCAAAACCTTGTCTCTATGAAAAAAAAAATTAGCTGGTCAATGTTGTCATGTGCTTTAGTTCCAGGTACTCAGGAGGCTGAAGAGGGAGAATTGCTTGAGCTCAGGAGTTTGAGGCTGTGGTGAGCCATGTTTGTGCCACTGCATTCCAGTATGAGAGAAAGTGTGAGAGCCTAACTCAAAAAAAAAAAATTACTATGAGTTTGATAGGGGTGTTATATCAGTAACCTCAGTGCCTAGAACTTAGGATTCTGGTAGAAGTGACCTGACTGGCATCTCTCTTGCTAGTAAGTAGTAAAGCTGGGATTTGAACCTACGACATTTTTCTTCAAGTTAATCTTTTTTTTTTTTTTGTGCTAGCATTTCGCTCTGTTGCCTAGGGTGGAGTGCAGTGGCAAGATCATGGCTTACCACAGCCTCCACTGCTGTACTCAGTAGGTCCTTCCACCTCAGCCTCCCAAGTAGCTGGGACTACAGGCATGTGCCACCATGCCTGACAATTTTTTTTTTCTTTTTTTGTAGAGACAAGTCCATGCTATGTTGCTCAGGCTGATCTCGAACTCCTGCTCAAGTAATCTTTCTACCTTGGCTGCCCAAAGTGCTGGGATTGCGGGCGTGAGCCACTGCGCCTGGCCCCAAGTTAATTTTTTAAACTATACTGTGCTGTATTGAAAGTTACTAGTCCCTAGCCAGGCTCAGTGGCTCAGCCTGTAATCCCGTGCCTTTGGGAGGCTGAGGTGAATGGGTTTTCTGATCCCGCAGGTTCGAGACCCGCCTGGGCAACTTGGCGAGACCTCATCTCTACAATAAATCAAAAATCAGCTGGGCGTAGTAGTGCGCACCTGTAGTTCCTGCTACTTGGAAGGCTGAGGCAGAAGGATCGCCGGAGCCCAGCAGGTCAAGGCTGCGGTGGCCGGGAGTGGCCATTGCACTCCAGTCTGGGTGACAGAGTGAGACTCCAACTCAAAAAAAAGAAAGTTACTAGTCCCTTGTCTTCCCAGAACCTTCCCTAGTTCATTTTGGGTCTTTATCTTTGTTACAAATTAATATTTTTTTAAATTGTGGCAAAGTACCCATGACATAAAATTTACCATTTTAACTATCTTTAAGTGTACACTTCTATGGTATTAAGTACATTCACATTGTTACACAACCATCATCACCCTCCATCTCTCAGAACTTTTTTATCTTCTGCAAATTCATTTTTATTTCTAAGTTGTTTAATCTTTCAGTATTAAGTGCTTTTATATGTGTAGTGTGGTTTAATTGCGTTACTGCATACAAAGTCCTCAGAAAAGTACCTGGCACACGGTACGAACTTAACACATACCAGCGGCTTCCTACAAACTAGGTGATAAAGTAGGTTCACAGAAATGCAGCATCAGAGGGAGGGCAGACAGGAGGTGGAGGACTTGGGAGATAGATGGAAAGCCTCCTTTTTTGTAATTTGTTTTTCGTATTCTCTGTTCTTTGTTAAACTCAAAATGATTTTGGGTGTTCATACATATGCCATGCATACATAGTAGAACTGAAAAATCATGAAATTGAGCATAGTATAGAGTAAGGACAATGTTAATAATACAAATTCCTCTTAACTGTGATCCCTAATAAAAATATTTTAATTTTGTTTGACAGGATTTGAACTTTTTGAAGAGCTGCCAACACCCAAGTTCAGCTTTGGAGGCAGATCTGGAAACAGTGTAGCAGCATTGGTTTTCCAAAAAATGTGAGACATTTCTTTGGACAAATTCAGGTAGCTTTTGCTTTTTCACTACACAGCAAAGCTAACCTGGCAGAAAATATGCATATATATTTTCCCACGGTCATAGGTTTTTATTGAACTGTCAGTTTCTTACACCCACACCCCATCCTCTTTCCATCAGGAAGATGGAACCAGGTAAAAGCAGGCTATGAAGTCCCAACTTTCTCATCATTTTGATGTCTCCTCAGCAACACAATCCAGGAACAAATACAATTTTTGTTTTCTCTTGAGTCCCCCGTGTCAATAGACAGGGCTCCCTCATCTGCCCTGTCAGTTGGCAGGTCGGAGTCTTACTCTGTCACCCAGGCTAGAGTGCAGTGGCATGGTCATGGCCACTGCAGCCTCAACCTGCTGGGTTCAGGTGATCCTTCCACTTCAGTCTTCCAAGTAGCTGGAACAACGGTCGCGCCCCACCATGCCCTGCTAATTTTTTGATTTATTGTAGAGACGAGGTCTCGCCATGTTGCCTAGGTTGGTCTCAAACCTGTGGGCTCAGGCAATCCTCTCGCCTCTGCCTCCCATAGTACTGGGATGAAAGGCGTGAGCCACTGCACCCGGCCAGTTGGCAGATCCTTAAGGGTAGCTGGAGTGTCATCCTCATCTCTGCTGATGCTCTTCAGAATCTGCTCACTCTCACTTGAAGTCCCTGATATATTGTGGACTGTCTTCCTGATCTTTCTTTTCTTTCCCTGGTGCTTTCTTTAAAAGGTCTTCAGGAGAAGCTGCGGAGTCTTCCTCTTCGTTACTGTCCTCACCGATTGTGTACAGGAACTGAGCTTTTTTAGTAGACTTTTTGGGTCACCTTGGCTTTCAGTAGGGCCTCCTCAACTGTCTTGTCGCTGAAGAGGCCTCAGGGGAAGTTTTCTCATCATTTTGCTGTCTCCCCAGCAGTTTAGTAATCCAGGAGCAGATGTAGTTTCGTTTTGTTTTGTTTTTTCCACAGCAGATAGTTTTTTCCCCTATGTCAGTAGATGGGTCCTCCTCATCTCCCCTGTTACTTGGCCGCTTCTCCACCACATCCTCAGGGGGAGCGTCAGTTGACTGCGTTGTCATGTGCACCCTGTTTTGTGGCCATTTGCCGATTGTTCTGACCTACTTCCTGGGGTGAACAGTAGATCTTGATCTCTGAGGAAGTATTCTTCCATCCTTGGGGCAAGATAAGAAGAGCTGGCCACGATGTCGGTGCTTCCGTGCAGAGTGACGCGCTGCTCCCAGGAGAGCAGCAGTGCCACGGTCAGGCCCACAGAGGAGAACACTCACGTCTGCTAGGCAGACAGCTATGGTGACTGTGCCCACAACAGTTCCCTGCCTGTCATTTCCATGTTTTCTTTATGATTTAAAAAAATTTCCTGTAACTGCTAAGCAGTGGAAAACTTCAGAGCAGTAAATTAATTTACAGAAAGCATGTATTCTTGATTTTTGTGCCTTGGTAGAGTTGAACTGAATATGACTGTTTATGAAGATTTGACCAAACTATTGCAGCACTAGAATAATAAGCAAAACAACTTAGTGTTTTAATAAACTACTGATGATATATAAGAAATACTATTTGGGGTTGGATGATGGTTATTTTTAAAATTATGTAATACCTGGGGAAAGAAAGGCCTTTGGTCTTTATATATGTATATACATAATTAAAATCAGAGAAAGAATAGAAAAAGAGAAAAAAATCAGAGAAATGTATCACTTGGTCAATAAAATATATTGAGGCTGTATTTTGCAGCTGATAGCCTTTTACACACTGTGAGGGATAAACAGGTAGCAGAAGGAGAAAAAAACTAAGAGATATTGTTGTATCTTCTTGAGGGTTATTATTTATGTTTCTTCATATAAGATAAATGAAGCTGAGAGAAGTGAAGTCCGTTCTACGAGGTCAAACAAATACTACAGGATGGAGCCATGATTTTTATCTGGGCCCGTCTGACTTTAAACCACATTCTCTTTTCCTAGCATAACATGCCTCCCAGGCCTCTGCCTTTATAGCATTTACAGTTCAGTTGGGGAACCAGGACTCTGGTACATACAAAACGCAGTTAGAGAAGTTAAGGCAGTTAACTTTCGGAGCTGTGCTGCTCTTTGTTAGTGCTGATCTGTGGCCTACCAGAGTAGGAGGCAGCCACATCAGTCTCAGATCATCTTTCATGACTTTTCACCATCTCCCTACTTGTGTTAAAAGACTTGCCTCTATCAAGAATTTTGTCATTCTTGTTGAAAAGGTGATGGAAGTCCTATATACGTTCTTGGAATACTTGGACAAAGATAATTAGGGACTAATTTAGCAAGAGAAATAGTTTTTTGATGTTTTGAAAAAGATAAAATATATCAATACTTAATATCACTTTGTATTTTGGTCAATATTTTAATATTAGAGTCATAATATGAATTTTTTAAAAGTTACATAATTTTGTTTTTTTGAGTCAGAGTCTTACTCTGCCGCCCAGGCTGGAGTGTAGTGGCATGCTCATGGCCACCCCAGCATCGACTGCTGGGCTCAGGTGATTCTTCCACTACAGCCTTCCAAGTAGCTGGAACTACAGACGTGTGCTACCATGCCTGGCTGATTTTTTTTTTTTTTGATATATTTTAGCTATGAGGTCTCACCAGGTTACCTAGGCTGGTCTTGAATCTGTGAGCTCAGGCAATCCTCTCGCCTTGGCTTCCCAAAGGGCTGGGATTACAGGCTTGAGCTACCGCGCCTGACTGTTACATAATTTTTATGGATTTCAGCTTTGTAGGCCTATTGGGTTACAAAACTAACAGAATTTTTGTTTATTTGGCAAATGTTGCTCCAGTATTGAGTAAGCCTAGCATTACATCCTTTTTTTCATTTAGATTAACATTGATTAGCCATTAAGTTGATGACCTGCCTTGTATGAGATAGTTGTGGACATTTACATGTACTTTCAACAAAAATAACAGTTTTGGAAAGGCTTTTATTTGTAACTTGTAAAAAAGTGAGAAATTCTAAATATATGCAATTCAAATTTTTTACAAAATTGAGTTATTTTACAAGACATGAGATTTTTTTTTGTCATAAAACTTTTCTTGTATGTTTTTTTAAGACATGAGATCTTAAACTGTAGAAACATAGTTTTATAATTTATTGAGGGTTCTGAGTTTTGTTGTGTTTTTCATATTAATATTTGATTTCCAATATAATATAAATAGATACTCTTGGAATTTTGAGTTAAGTGTATGCCATTGTATTGTACCAATTCAACAAAATAGGATTTCTTTGTGATTAGATTGAGATCTTGAGTTTGATTTACAGAAAGCTTGAAATGGATCTCTGTTGAAAAACTTTTTGAGTCATTATATGGAGCATGTTTGTTCTGTTTGCAATGGTAAAGTTGTTTTTTTTTTTGCATAATCATAGAGCTTTTGATAAAGTTGGGAAAAGGAAGTTATCATCTCTTATTTATTTATGTATTTATTTGAGTTGGAGTCTCACTCTGTCGCTCAGGCTGGAGTGCAGTGGCACACTCACAGCCACTGCAACCTTGACCTGCTGGGCTCAGGTGATCGATCCTTCTGCCCCAACCTTCCAACTAGCTGGAACTACAGGTGTGCGCCACCACACTCGGCTAATTTTTTTATATTTATTGTAGAGATGAGGTCGTGCCAAGATGTCCAGGCTGTTCTCGAATCCCTGGTCTCAGGCAAGCCTCTTGCCTCTGCCTCTCAAAGTGCTGGGATTACAGACGTGAGCCACCGTGCCCTCTTCTTATCATCTCAATCCTGCTGGAAGCTACCTTCTTAGGGATTAAAATAAGAACAAATGGAAGGTCCAAAAAATGCCAACAAGAAATTAATATTTTCAAATAACACCAAGCTGCTAAAAATCAGGTCAGTAAATGTCCCCAAGTTACTGAAAAAACCCATAAAATACATTGTCATTAAGCTTAGTATTGTTAAATCGTATAAATATGTGAGTAACTGTGAAGGAAATTATGCAGTTACAGAAAGGAGCAGTAAATTACGCAGAGAATGCTGTTTTCTGTGGATAAGAAGTTGGAGTTGTAATTTCATTTAATCAAAAGACACTTATTTTGAGGAAACTTGTTTAAAATGCACAGGAGATTCCTCTGTGGAGCCTGCACAGAACTGTTGCTTTTCATTATGAAGTTATTGCTGCATAATAGGCCACTTCTGTGTGTAGGAAGCGCGTTTGCAAGTCCAAAGGGAATTGAGGCCTGAATGGGTGGGTTATACCAATTAACAAATAGAAAGTTTTCAGAACATTTTGTCTTAAGCCAGGTGCACAAGTTAAAGTTGCTTTTTGGAATTGGCATTTATGAATGCGAGAATCAGACCTGACATCACTCTTGGCAGCCTGACTAAAGCCATTTTAAAATACGTACAAACTGCCCTTGAATGATTTTTCTCCCATTGTAGTGGCACCAAGTTTGCCTTTCTTCTTCATCTGTTATAGGCATGTGATCTTCTGTTTGCTTTGAGGGACTAGTAAGCTAAACATATACAAAAGACTTTTAGTCTCTTTATGAATAATGTGTTTCAATGGACTTATTTTTAAATTTCTGTGATACTGTAATGCAGTATCGTATGTTGTCCTCAATTCATATTTATCCAGAGTATAATAGAAACTTTAATTTTTGAGGAACCTACATTAGTAATTAAGTTTCATGGCTTTGAAATAATTTTCTTCAAATTGGTATACAAAGAAGTAGAGTATCCCTGCCTATGTTAACAGACATTAATTTATGTTCTTTTAAGTAATTTTATTTTATGTATTTGTGTGTGCGTGTATTGTTGTCTCTCTCTCTGTCTGGTGGCCTACAATGAAAATCTGTACAAATGTGAACGGTTTGTCTCTAGGGGAGAGCCCTGGGGTTTGATTTCCTGTTTTTGGCTCTGTGACCAAGAGTGTATGTGCTCCAGAGACAGCCCTCTGCTTTGAGAGCCAGAAACCAAGTGTCTTGTGTTCCACAGTAGTAACCTCTTTAGCTGATTTGGCGAGGGGGTGGGGGGTGGTGTGCGCCAATGGACTCTGAAAGGAGTCTTGTCTAGTACACTTCACTGGAAAAAGACTGCCCATGACCTAGAGCTTGATTGTGAGAGGCGGGGAACATACATGGTTGAAAGACAATTGCATAGTGGGAACAAAATTAGGAAACCCTTATCATTTCTCTTGGTTAGGCAGGAAACAGAGATGTCCCTAGGAGAAGGGGGAGCTCATGAGCGTGTTTTATTAACAGTTAATGGAAGAAAATTAATGCTAATTTATTCTTCATACACACCATGCAATTTGTTAGAAAAGTAAAAGAATAGTTTGAAATTCTTTGGTCAATTGATGGATTCCTATGTTAGGGGCATAGAAATGAAACTTCAACATCAAGCAGACAAATACCCAAGCCCACAGGCTACATAAATGCTGAATAAAACCAGCTCTACAATGGACCTCTGAAAAGCAACGGGTAAGAAGCCTAATGAATGATTGAATATGACCTTAGCAAAATCCCTGGAGTGTTGTTGAAAGATCATTCATTTCCAGCTTAGATGTCAAGATGGGCTCCAGTAACCAGAAAAAAAAGAGAGCTTGAGTCAGTACTTACTGAGTTTTAAAAATCTTCACAATACAGTGCATTAGACTAATCATTAAAAGGACTTCTCTATCTGAATTTTGAGCTGTCACTGTAGTTTAGGCCCAGGGAAATAAAATGAAGAAGACAGGAATAATTCTGAAGATATGAATGTATCAATATCCTATCCTGCTTTTATGGGGTAGAACTTCAAAAACCAGGATGTGTAGGCTGGCAGAATGTACTTTTGTCATGCTGATACCATTGTAAGAAGACTAACAACCGAGAGGTCAGTTGTGCCTTAAAGTATTTGTGAATTTCTGCCTACTTATTAGAGGAAGATATAAAAAGCCAAAATCTACATTTTTTGTTAAATGATAACTTCAGTGTTCTATTTTAACATATGAATTATTATTACTGCATCAGCAAATGATCAGTATTTTAGTGAGTGATCTTTATTGTTTGTTCATGCTGTCTGGAAGCTTCTTAAGAAAAGCTAATCTAATACATTTGTTTTCCCAAGTATATAAAAATTTACACACAATCTAGCAATTAGCATAGCCTGTGTATTATCTGAGCAGCTTGGAAAGAAATATGAAAATACTCTGGTTGAATAAGGGGACTGTGAACTGTGTTTCTCACTCTTCATTAGCATACTTAAGATCAGGCAGTTTGTCATTAACATCCTTAAGATCAAGCAGTTTATCATCAGTGACGCTAGCAGGCCAGAAACAATGTTAGGATGGCTGTGTTTTCCCTGCTGTCGTCTGCCTCGCCGCTGCGGAGAGGAGGGGCTCGGCGGGAGGAGGAGGCTAAATGTAGAAGAGTGTGGGTGCTGTCAGTTAACATTTTCCTCCTAGCCCCTCTGCTAATAGGAAAATGTCAGGCCTTTGTTCCCGTCTAATTTTAGTACATCCTGGCTAAAAAAATGTTCGGAGAAAAAAAAGCTAGGATGATTTCCAACCATGGAACGTTGAGGGGTGGGGTGGGAGGAGGAAGAGTGGAGGA